TTTTGTTGAACAGTGATGTTGAAAACATGGGCGATGTGTCTGATATAGAAACAGAGAGTAGGCTGTTCAAAGTGCCAACAAAACGGAAACATGTGGAAAAGATCAGTCACATAAAGTGTTTTAAAAAAGGTGAAGTGGTTGAGGGCGATGAGGATCAGAAAGAGTCAGAAAGTGGAAGTGAAATGTCTGACTCGAGTACAGTGTTGTCACAGAGTGAAGCTGCTATAAGCAGAAGTTATGACGTTGAGGACATAAAACGTTTCCTTAATACCACAAAAAACAAACGGGGTGTGGTTGTAAAGGATTATTTTCCTGACTTAAATCAGTTCTATAACAAAGCTAAAGGTTTATTAGTAGATGGGTGCCTTTCGAACAGGGAGGTGTATCGTTTGAAAAAAATTGTGAGGAAAGTTGGCACGGAGTTAAATGAAAATGAAGACTAAGAACTTTAGTTATTTGGTTTCACTTGTGTTTTTTTGTTTGTTTATTTATTTAAGTATGGCTGAAGTGCGGATTGCCTCCTTGAATGTCAATGGTGCTAGAGATTATAGAAAAAGAGCTGAGCTGTATGAAATTATCAAGCAGAAAAAATTAGATGTCACTTTGATTCAGGAAACACATAGTGACGTGAATAATGTGAATGATTGGATGAAGGAATGGGAAGGCTTATCTTTTTTCAGTCACAATACCACTTTAAGTGGAGGAGTAGCAATATTATTTGCAAAAACATTTAATCCAGCTTCATATCAAGTTAAAGAATTTTTGAAAGGTCGACTTTTAAAAGTGAGAGCACAAGTTGAGAATTTTAATTTTGTTTTTATTTGTGTGTATGTCCCCAACTCAACAATTGATGATGTTGTTTTTAGATACATTATGTTCTGTTTTACAAGATGTTTCTAATGATGATTATTTATTTCTGGGGGGAGATTTTAATTGTACAGTGAGTAATTGTGACAGAAATCATATTGAACCCCATATGCTGTCAAGAAAGCGTCTCTTTCAAATAATAAATAAGCATGAATTAAGTGACGTGTGGAGGTTTTATCATGAGGATAAAAGGCAATATACTTGGGCACATACACGTGGTAATGTTTTATCTTTGGCAAGATTGGACAGATTTTATGTGTTTAAACATCATACTGGTATTTTTAAAAATTGTTGTATTTTTCCTGTTGGTCTTTCAGATCATTGTATGGTGCAATGTTCTTTTATTTTGAATTCTGTCAAGCCAAAAAGTGCGTACTGGCATTTTAATCTAACGTTGTTAGATAATAAGGATTTTATACACACGTAATTCTGTAACTTCAAGCTGGAAAGCAGTTGCTTGTAAAATATTACAAAATGTTGGTAATTTGAAAATGGACAGGAATCTTTTTTTCATGGACCTGTCAAAGGTGAACCTTAATGGGATGCCTATTTTTTATCGTAATGTTTTTAAAGTGTGGAAAATGTTCAGAGTGCAAAGAGAAGGACATTTTGAATCTCTTTACTGGCTCCTTAAAGAACCGTTGATATATGGAGCACGTTTTGATTTAAAACACAATGACTGTTCAATTCCTGGACTTACAGAAACACTTGTGGCATCCAAAATTTGTACTATGGGGAGTCTAGTACACTTGACAGGACCAGACTTTGGGAATATGGAAGGAGTTGCTTTGAGTTTGAAAATTAAGTCGTTACGATCTGTTTTTCATTTATTACAAAAATGGAAACAAAAACTCACTTTTGATGAACTGAAACTGTTATCAGAATACTATGAATACAAAATTGTTCCTAATGAAGAGGATGTATTATCTGAGTTTTTTATTTTTCCTATGTTAGATGATGTTTCAGGAATTTTTTTAAGCTCTGGAAAATCTCTATGTTGTCATTTTTTTTCAAGTACTGGTAAATCTTTTTATAAAGCTTGTGTTCTTGCTTTTAATAAAAAAGCGCTTAATAAGAGGGTTGATACACCATGGCGTAATGTTTTACAACTTGATGATGATAATAAACCAGAGTGGAGATCATTGTATAAGCCACCATTAGGTAAAAGAGTTGGGGACATACAATGGAGACTTTTACATGGTGCGATAGCAGTTAATGCTTTTATTTCAGTTTTAAATCCTGATGTTTCTGCAGAATGCCCTTTTTGTTCTATTAGAGAGACTGTTTTTCATGCTTATATGGATTGTGTTAGACTACAAAGGTTGTTTAGTTTATTACATAATTTATTTTATAGTTTTAATAAATCTTTTTCTATAGACGTATTTATTATTGGTTTTAGGTATGTTAGAAGAAATAGGTTTATTTGTCAGTGTTTAAATTTTCTTATAGGTCAAGCGAAGTTGGCAATCTGAGCAGAAAAAACAAGATAGAAGGGGGTGCTGATCAAGATATTAATATTATGTTTTTAGCAACTGTCAAATCCAGAATACTTATTGATTTTCGTTTTTATACTTCCATGAATGATGTTATTACATTTGAAGAGAAATGGTGCAAGAATAAGGCTTTGTGCTTTGTTATTGATGGACAAATATTTTTTTCTCATCTACTAATGTAGAAAAAGCTTTGTGTGTGGTATAAAAGGTAAATGGAAAATTAGTAAATGGTGAAACTTGTTTTGTGAAAAATTGTAAATAAAGTATTTTTTCAAAATTCTCTCTCTCTCTCTCTCTCTCTCTCTCTCTCTCTCTCTCTCTCTCTCTCTCTCTCTCTGCTAATGTAGGTTAATCTGCTGTTATATGACAGATGAAGATTGTTCTGATGTGACTTCAGCTCTGAAATCAAACCCGTCACACCTGAGAGAGCTGGACCTGAGCGGGAATGAACTAGGAGACTCTGGAGTGAAAAACCTCAGTGATCTACTGATGAACCCACAATTCAAGCTGGAGAAACTACAGTTAGTGTCATTATACTGTACAGCAATTACAGCAGTGGCGGGCCGTGCATTTCACACTTAGGCCTTCTGTCCTACCTGAATTAATAACTTTTAATAGTGTATCAGCGCAAAGAATCTCTATAATTGTTTTTATTTTGCACCGGCAGTTATTGGATTAATGCGGTGAGTTCGGGAGAGGCCGGTAGAGAGAAACGAGCGCGTGAGTTCGGCTGGTGCGTTTGTAAAGTGGTTCTTGCGTTCTGAATCCGATTATAAGTTCAGAAACGAAGCCTCACTTATTTTGTCGTTCAAGGGTTACAATAGTCCCTTTTCAGATGTTACAATAGTATGAATGTTTGAAGTTTCGATCATAAATTTATACAAAAAATTAAGAAGAAAATCATATTCACCACGGGGAAAAAAGCATATACTCACCAAAACTACAGATTATTTTTTTACACAAAATCCATCCTTATTTCTTTCCTCAAGAAGACTTCAATTACTGTCGTACAGGTTCTAACTGCGTTTCAGTTCCAATAATGTCGTGTCTGTCTCGTCACATTTCTAGCATAAATTTTAATTTGCTTTATGGCTGAGAGTGCCTGTTCGACAGAAACACACAGTCACCGCAAAACATGACGATGTGTACAGCTGCCCCATGCTCTCACACAGAGTTTTGACCGAAATCAACGAGATCAGCGGGACTTTTGCCTTCAAAATCATTCGTTTCATAACAATACACCTTATTCAGAGCAGCGCCATGACAGGTATGAAAGTGAGGCTGTGAGGGATAGACTTACCGTGTTTCCAATGGCATCCGCTGTAAAAAGCTGAATAAAACTGCTAGATACTTACAATTTTCCACAGCTTACATTGTCGGGAGTTTTTTGTCAACTGAAATTTCTTGGAAAGATATTTTTTCAGTGTTTCATGAGCAGAACAATCTGAAAACACATTAAATAACAGTACAGCCCATTGAAGAGATGCATGACTATCCCTCACAGCCTCGCTTTCATTCTCATTAAAAATCAAAGATGGCGCTGCCGTTCTGTTTTAACCCGGAGAGATCAAATAGAGTCCCGTTACTCTGCGTTTAGCTCAGGCTGAATAAGGGATTTTTTTTCTGCTGGGGGTCGAGGAGGGAAAGAAACATTAATTTGTGGGTTGAAATCTATTACATCTACAGGAATATATTTTAGTTTATGCAGTTCACTACAGATGCGGATACTACCAGTAATAGTACGCGCATCCAATCAAAGAACGAGAAAATACCGATGTTATTATACGCCTGCTAGATGGCCCCGCTGCAGTCAAAGCGAAATCTGATTGGCTGATTAAATCTGACGGATTATCTGATTGGTTAAAGAAACAGTTTCATTGCCTTTCATTTTAAGCTACAGGCGCCTGCACTGTCGATTCTGAAGGTCTCCAGGCAGATTTATTTGACCCTGGAAACACATGATGGCTGAAATATGATTGGATACAAGCTCTAACATAAAAACACAATACTGGAAGCAGCGCAACCAAGAGAAAAGCTATGAAATTAAGAGAATGAACTATTGGGAATAATTTAATATTCATGCAAAAAATATATTAAAGTGCAAGTCAGTGATTCTGATAGTGTTCAGAGAAGGCCTTGCTGGCCCTGACGGCCCACCACTGAATTACAGTGTGACTGAAGTTTATTTATTTGAAGACAGCAGGGCTTATGTTTCATTGGTTATAGCAGTGCACTTTCTGGGTTTTGTGTGCTTTTTTTCTAGTTAGCTTATACAGTTTATTGTAATTGATTTCACTGCTTTAAAATTGAATCAATATTTTTGAGTGTGAACATTTTTCACCAAAAAAATTTTTGTAAATCATATAAAACTTTTTAGAGTGTAGATAGTAATTGTTTAATTCCCAACATCTGATACAATGTACTGATTGTGTACACACAGAAATCTGCTTTTCAACAGAGAATAAAGAAGAGAGACGTCAAATAAATAGTTAGAAATGAAAGAGAAGAAACAGTGTCTTCCAGCGCACAGAACTAGTGTGACTGGGTTTTAAAACAGACTATTGGAAACTAAATGCTGCTGTAGCTCTTCAATAAGATGATCATCATAGATGTGAACTATTGTTATTTCTCTGTCTTCAGTCTGTATAGATGCAGTATTACAGAGGAACAGAGTCTCATCCTGACTTCAGCTCTGAAATCAAACCCGTCACACCTGAGAGAGCTGGAGCTGAGCGTGAATAAACTAGGAAACTCAGGAGTGAAAAACCTCAGTGATCTACTGATGAACCCACAATTCAAGCTGGAGAAACTACAGTTAGTGTCATTATACTGTACAGTAATTACAGTGTGACTGAAGTTTATTTATTTGAAGACAGCAGGGCTTATGTTTCATTGGTTATAGCAGTGCACTTTCTGGGTTTATTAAACTGAAACACTTTATTCTCAATATCTGACAGTGAGTCTAAATTCACATTATATCTGTGTAAAATTCTTCACATTCATGATTTGTTTGTAAGATAATCTCTCTTCCTCTGTTTGTGTCTCTCTAGTCTATATGACTGTGGCGTTACAGATGTTTCTTCTTTAACTCAGTCTTTGACGAACTCAAAAGCTCTGCAGTTTTTAAAAGAGCTTGATCTGAGAGAGAATGAGATCGGAGACTCAAAGCAGCGGCTCAGAGACGAGCTACGAGACTCAAACTGTGTCCTGAGGTGAGGAAACATCACTGAGATATTAAAGACGTCTTCATTTATCTCTGATATGTGAACAATCCTTTCAGATATTCGTGAAAGGAAATTATCATTAAGATTTGTTGCAACAAAGGGTTTGTGTGAGAACATAATGTGAAGTTATTGAAATGTTGAACACAAGGAGGAAAGAGAAGAAAAGCTCACTGTCACAGCTTTATACATCAACAGCTGCTTTATGAACTGTGTCAGTAGAAGTGAATCATTTGAGTGTGAAACAGACTTGGTCAGATTGTAGGAAACGCTGCACTCCTGCTAAAATCAGTGCAGTTCCAGCTTCAGCTCACAGCGTCCAGCTCACATGAGCAATGTCTCTGTCTCCAGTGTGTTTTTACTGTGACAAGCAACACGTCACACTACTCGACACTTACTTTACTCTCAGTTATTTACTAAGAGCCTACAAACATGTTTAAACTAGAGGACAAACGGCTTTAACTAAAGGTTTGTGTTTAACTCAAAATAACATTAGTATTTGCTCGCTGTGGTTTATTTCATACGCCGTACACTCATTAGTTTCTCCTTTACAGAGACTCAATAGGAGTCACACAGACACACACAGACACACATATGAACATGATTCAGGCTTTTCATCTATTATATTTAAATACACAAATATCTTTATCCAAGTTCATGTAAAGTCAGTAATTAATCTGATTACAGGAATTCAGTTTAACTTACTTTTACTAAAGAAAAACAGCACGTTGTTCCACTGAACACTGATTGTTTTCTCTTCTGTTTCACTTTACAGTATATGATTATAGATGAAGATCGATCAGCAAACGTCAGTGGATTGACATCAAGGTTTAAATCTGTGAGACGGAGATGAGAGGAGCAGAAACCATCAGGTGAGCCACAGAAGAGTCTCACTGCTGTCTATGAGGAGAAATACATGTGTAAATGTGTTTCATACAGGTGGAAGAGACTCAGACTTCACTATTAAATAAAGCAGCGTGTGTGTTAGCATGCGTATTAGAAACATGTGATATTGAATGATTAATGTTGGTTTATTATTCAGCCAAATGATGGTTTAGTTGTAATTAAAGGTTGAACAGAGAAAGAAGCTCAGATGAGTGTCAGCAGAAATCTTCACTATCAGGCCTGCAAATATAATAATGTTTAGACTAAACTCATCCAGAATTATTCAGATATTTCTAATCATGAACGTGATTGTCAAGTATAGCACATAAAAGATCTAAATATATGTTTCAAAAGATATAAAGTTTACATGTAACCTTTAAACCTTCACATTATCTCTGTAACATTTTATACACAGAATATGTTTATTGTTATTGTTTTATTCTATATGAAGTTAGTGTGTGTGTGTGTGTGTGTGTGTGTGTGTGTGTGTGTGTGTGTGTGCGTGCGTGCGTGCATACGTGTGCGTGCATGTGTGTGTGTGTGTGTGTGTGTGTGTGTGTGTGTGTGTGTTGCTGATGCACAGATGTACAGTATATTGTGTTTGTTCTGTGGATGAAGTCTCTTCTCCTCTACAGACCGACTAAACATTTTCCCCAGTTAACAGCATTTGTGTGTGTTTCACTCGCTCCTCAGATAGCAGACGGATGTGGGCCACTTCAGGCGATGATGCGGCACCGTAGGCCTTCTTATGACCCGACAAAATGTATGTGAGCCTGAAGTGGCCCACGTGTAAAATGGCAAATATGGCCCAAATATCTTAAATCACATGTGGGCCTTTTTAGGCAAAGATGCGGCACTCATGGCAATGTGTAATCTGAATGTGGGCCTAAAGTGTCCCATATGATAAATAATGAATATGGCCCAAATATCACACACCAAATGTGGGCCACCTATGGCAAAAATGTGGCACAATCGACAATGACTAATCTGGGTGTAAACCAAATATGACCCACATATGTTGCAGCAAATGTGACCCAGTTATCTTAAAACAAATCAGGGCCAGTTTTGTCAAAGATGAGGGTCAGTAATCACTGTGAATCTGAATGTGAACCCATGGGCGTCAGTGTGGTCTGAAATGTGCTGGGACAGAGACACATTCATTTATTTTTCTCTTTCACGCAGGTCATGTTTTGAAAGACGATGTCCTGTAGATTCCAGATGTAAATAAATTAAAATGTATCGTTCTATGAAGAAGAAAGCCTTAAGTTTTTTTAAAGCATTAGACATTAGACATATATGACCCACTATTCTGCTTCAAGTAGCCGGCCATGTTGACAATATGACAACGGTGAAAAAAAATCAAACCCAAAGTACAATTATTATGGACGTTATCTGATATTAAGCGTTTCTGCTTCACATTTTCAGCAGGGCAGCGGAGACCCATTACATTGCTAAATAATGACTGTAATGAATATAATCAAATCTGCTGTCAGGACATAACTCTTGAGGAGATTATTTGGGGAATAACTCAATTAAAGAACAATAAATCCCCAGGCTGTGATGGTCTGAGCTCTGAGATGTAGAAATGTTTCTCTGAGGTAAATTTCTTCTGGCTGTCTTCAGAGAATCTCTTGACAGAGGGATCTTCCTCCTTCTCTGAGGCGACACACACTTCATCCAAAACCTCACACACACTCGCTGTTCATTGACAATCGGCGACCCAAACATTGCTAAATAATGACTGCGAGATTCTAGCATCTATCTTAAACGTCTCAAATCTAAATTACACACTTTTATTTATGAATGCCGATCTGGTTTTATGTAAGATCGTCACATAGCCAATAACATTCGCTTAGTTTTGGATCTGATTGAATACAAAGACTTTCTAGATGATGAACAACACCTTATTTTATTCTTAGACTTTCAAAAAGCCTTTGACACGGTAAGCCACAAGCTTATTATCGACACCTTAAACTGTTTTAGTTTTGGTAAGAATTGTATTAATGCTGTATAAACTCTGTATATGTGAGGAAACAGTTGTGTTAGATCGGCTAATGGAAATTCATCTAGATTTCACACACACAAAGGTCTCCGCCAAGACTGCCCCACCTCGCCTCTTCTATTGGGGATTGAAGCTCAAACTCTGTCATTTAATTCACAAGAGTTCATTCAAAGGAATTACATTAAATGAAAGAGAAACACAAATCTGATCGCTGGCTGATGACACAATCCTGTTTCTAAAAAATGAATCCCAAATAGGAGTTGCACTAAATGTTGTAAACCAATCTTCTGAAAGCTCAGGCTTGAATCTAAATCTTTCAAAATGTGAGCAGTTTTCTGTTAAAAAAATAAACATTCGGGTCAAATATGCGGCATAAATATAAAGAATTTAGTAACTTATCTTGGAATAAAAATCAGTCCTAATCAAAAGTTGATGACAGAGAGTAATATTTCTTTACTACACGACTATATTCATTAAAGTTTGACTCTTGGATCAAGAGATTTATCTACGTATGGCAGGTTCTTCTTTCTAAAGCAGAAGGTCTCTCACGAGCTGCAGATTTATTTACATCAATAGAAATTCATAAATTACAATGTGCCAATCTAGACAAACTATTATATAACTTTATATGGAGGAAGAAGCCTCATAAAATCAGGAAAAACATCTTGACTAATAAAATTGAGGAGGCGGGTTTATCGGTCATTGACTTCTCACTTTTCAATGAGATATTAAAAATCAACTGGATTAAAAGATTTGTGGAAAATCCAAACAGTTTCTGGAACATTGATCCAAACTTCATCTTTGGAAAACTGCTTTAAACATGATATTGTACTGCTCCTCCAGGTGGTGTACCTATGTGTTTCAGACATCTATCTATTCGATTCCCTTTAGCACCACCAGCTTTTCAAAAAGTTTGGGTTTAAGACGTCGTCTGTGTGGCCTATTGATTAAACGGTAACACTTTATTTGAAGGGGTGTGCATAAGACTGAAATGACACTGTCATAAACATGACACTTTTAATGCAAAGTTGACATTGTTTAAAATGTCTTTGTTATGAAAACTTGACATTAACCAAGACAAAAATGTCTTGATTATGACAACTTGACATTAACCAAGACAAAAATGTCTTGATTATGACAACTTGACATTAACCAAGAAATCATAACCTGTCACAAATGTCATAACAGGTCTAATTATCAAACTTAAAGAAGTTATTTAGCTTTGCGTTAACATTACATTACTGTCATATGTGGTTGGTTTTGACTTTGGCCGTCATGACACCATTATAACTGTGACATGAATATTTTACTTGTCCTCAAGTAAAGTGGAACACATTGTACTAGTTATAAAGTTGTCATTAAGGGTTATTACACTGTCAAATGTTTTAACAACAGTGTCATTAATATTTCCCCTTACCTCAAGTAAAGTGGAACACGTTGGACTAGGTATAAACATGGCAGGTTGACAGGTTATGATTTCTTGGTTAATGTCAAGTTGTCATAACAAAGACATTTTAAACAATGTCAACTTTGCATTAAAATTGTCATAATTTACCGAATGACACTTAATCACAAAAGTCATAAACATTCATAAAGACTCCTTCATGTTCATGACAGGTGTTATGTCATGTTTATGACAGTGTCATGTCAGTCTTATGCATACCCCTTCAAATAAAATGTACCGATTAGACCCGCAAAGGAAAACAAGCGCTCTACAGGAGCTGAAGAGGGAATGATTGTGTTGAACCTCACAAACAGCTGTCTAATAAGTGGATACTGGTTCAAGATGTCCAAATCCTTCCTCTGATCTTCTAGGATTCTGGCTCAAAGTATTTTGAGTATTTTGAAAATACAAAAATATTCATCCTAAATGTATTTAAATACAAATTACATTTGATTTTTTCCAAAGGCTTTAAAATACAAAATACAAAATAGTATTTTGTATTTCAAATATGTATTTTAAATACATGTATCTGAAAAACTGCCCATCCCTGAAGGTTAACAGAAATGAGATAATTAACAGCAGTGTAATGCACACAATTCACCACAGGAGGGCGTTTAGACGTGAGTCTTTAAATTGATATTACAGATATAAGAATATATTTCCATTAAACAAAAGCGAACTTTTCTAGATTTTTTTTACTATGTCGCTTTAAATTAATAATTTATCAAACAATGTGAAATAAATGCAAAGTAAGTGCAGAGTTTACACTGAAAAAAATGATGTGTTGGTTTTACTTAATTTTTTCATGTAAACAGGTTCCACCGGTTGCACATAACTTTGTTTTGTTAAACAAACATAATTTGTTCATGTAACTTCAACATCATGGAAGTCATTTTAAGCCATCCAATCAAACTCTGAGCTGAGTGTTAAAGTTAATGAGACAATTAAGTGAATAACTGAGTGATGATTGAGCATTATTGAAGACACCTGATGATCACAAGCAGAATCGCTGAAGGACAAAATCACAAATTGTAAGCCACCGTTATGGAGATCAGTGTTTGCTTTAGTTGGGCTCTTGACACTTATATCAAAAATGTTATATATTTTATTTGCTGTTACATCTGAGTTAAATCTGTCAGATGAACTAAGATAAAAAATTGTAAAATGATGTTGGTTATATAATGACTTTCATCATTTAAAATTTATATCTGTGATTTATTCTGTTTGTTAATGTATAACTGAGAGTCTGCATAATTATCCAGAATGTTAAATATAATATAATGCATTTCTCAGAAGTGTTGTTTTTTTTTTAATCTTTCTTTAAGGCACACACAGACTTTAAGATTCAGTCAATGCTTCTCAACAACGGTCACGAGCAGAATATTCAAGTAGGAAAAGTAAATTACATAGACAATTCAGGTCATAATTTATTCATACCGCAATGCATGATGGGAGACATTACTGAGTTGTGATTGGTGGCAACATGTCACCATGGTTGAGATAGACAGGCTGATTATTGATCTCTGTGTTTCTGAATAAAGATGACAGTGATTTGATCAGAATATGTTTTATTAAATATGTTAGGTTATAAGTAAAATACAGATATGCAGCAGAACCACATAACCGTAGTTAACAAGTTAAGCAAATCATCTGAATAAGTTTCATTTTTCAGATCATTG